GCAATTTTTTGAGAATTTTCGGGAATATTAGAGTTTTTTGGAGAATTTTAGACATTTCTAAAGGAATTTTACAGCTTTTCTTCGGGAAATTCCGGAAAGAGTTATAGGCTATATGGAGCTAAGCTTACGTTTGAACGAGGTGATGATTAAGAAAATGATTCGTATATGTCACTGTCTGCAGAAAAATAGAGCCTGCAAAACAACGGTCTGAACAATAGCAAAAGAGAAGGGAAAAGAAAAGACGAGACGCGTATTCATAAGCCAGTTTTTCCGTTTTCTGTTATTCAAACCACCATTTCACTCAAATTGTTTCACTCAAATCATTTCTAACTGTAGCCAGAACAAAACGATAAGCTACTTGTAATTCCTGTATCCGCAGTATGTTACCTTTTTAAGTGCTTGTAGCCATTACTCTCGTTTGTTTTTAAGAACTTTAAAAAAATGTAACGTCTTTCCACTTTTCATTTTACGATGTTTAAGGGCAAATTTTAATAGTTTTGGCATTAATAGGAGACTAGACTTACTACTGTATATATAATAACCACTCTGATTTCATGTGGAAAATGTTTTGCATCGTATTTACGAACTCAGCGTTGTTTTTGATTTAGAATCGAAATCTCATTCGTTCGGTCTTCTCTGATACGTTAATCAAACGTGCGCAAATACTGCAAGCACTCAATCACTATTACTTCAAACAATAAACTGTTATTGTTTTACCAAGGGCGGATACAGACAATTAAGAAAGGAGTGGCTGAGACACTTTCCCACTTGTTGTTGTTTTGCCAATCTTAACCCATTTTTATTATTTTTAACCCTCTTTACAGTCGCCGTCGTCCTTGCTCCCTTATTGGCCAAGGAGGGAAAAAAATAAGGAGGGTGTGTTTGTTTTGTATCAAAGCCTGCCTTTCCTATTTTTTGACACCACACCCCTCACATGAAAGGAACTCCCGAGGAGCCTTCTGTGTATAAAAAGGATGGCCTTCACGCGCTCTCGCCACATTTAATTTCAAGTAGCCTTCTGTTAGATCTAAATATCATGGCCACAAAGGAGAAAAGTCTTGCTCAACAACGAACGCCCAAAGGGCAGTCATCAAGTCGATGTGATCATTCCGCTAACACACAGCAACATCAACCGCTGCCAAAGGATACAAGAGAGAGACGCAACCACAGCAAGTCCTGTGATAGCTACTTTAACAACGAACTTGCGACCAAGTTCTTGAGTGATCCTCGAGTGGTGACTGAAAATGCCATAAAACTTACTCCAGATGAGATGCACGCAATTTACTTGGACATCTTCAAACCTCTGGACTTCTTCGAAATGTTTTACGAAAGACTGAAAGCTCAAGAAAAGGAAAAAGAGAAAGAGGAACTGGATGAAGAGCGAATCCGGTGACCGAGTATGCTGTAAACTGTGACACATCACATGGAACTTTAAATCCACTAAAATAAATACCGTTTAGGAAATAAACAGAGCCAAAAAACGGAAGGAAACGCATAAACGTACCCATTTTATACTTCATATAAGGGATACAGGAAGATTTAATTTAGTAAATCCCAAAGGTTTATTTAATATTTATTTATTTATCAGTTGAAATAGATATACACCTTAGCATACGGTCAACATTACTGAGATTGTAAATTAATTTGACAGAATATTTATAAGAAAGAAAAACGATTTAATAATTACTAATTTATAAATTTACCCACTGAACGATGTATTAACTGCTGTATTGTACGTTTTTCTTCACCCTTGTCTCGCTTGTAAACATTTCAATGTCTTTTCGTATAAATGTCGGACAATGCCTAAAATTAGAATTTATTCTCCCATCACGATTTAGATTAAGCTAAGTTTCAACCCTTTCCAAGTTAGGAATACAGTTTTAACCCTTAGTCAGTCTACTTGTTTTCGTGCTAATCGAAAATTAGAGTAAAACGAAATAATTTAAACTTCATACACTTTCACTTCTTGACTGGATAACAGCGCTTGGAAATAATATCCGTACTTATGAAAGGAGACAACATGGCAGATGTATACCTATGAGTTGTTCTGTGTTGTTCAAGTTGCGTAACCGTTTTAAAAACATGACCAAAACTGAACTATTGATGTGTTCACGTTACAGTTCTCAAGAAATAAACCTTACTTGCTTGTACGTTTTTTTTTGTACACCATATTTAATCGGTCTTGATCAGGTCTTGATGAAATAAAGAGGGCGCGCAGGCATGTTAATTTCCACTGTTGAAAGACAATTCTCCCTTCGAAGTTTGATCTACACACACAAGTGAGTTTTTCTATTCTATCCTCTAGAAGATGTACAATGCCTCCAAAACATGTTATTTGTGGAATTTTAAAATAACGGTTTATCATACTATTTTTAAACTTCAAAGTAGGTAAATTTAGAACGTTTTGCGCTTATAATGTTGTTTTTGTTCTGCGAGAAGAGCAAGACCATGTAAAAGTTAGCGATATGTACGCGCGTGTAAAAAGTAACCTGTGCCTCCGTCCATTCCCGTGCAAAAAATGTGTACAACAAAAACTATGATAATAATTAGTTTTTAACGAGTTTTCTAAAAATTTGGATATTGTGTGGGCTTTTTTCAGTTTTCATTCTTTCTTCTGTTATGTGTCATCATCGGTTTAAGGAACACATGTACAAGGCTTGGGCAGTTTTGGTCGGATTTATCACACGACCGAAAACGGTGTTTTATATTAGCAAGTAAAATGTAAAACACTTGTGATTTCAGTCAGGGAGCAAATCTTATAGTAAAAAGTTAAAATTATTTTTTTCTGACATCGTGTTTAGTGCTGGCACTGCAAAATGCGTTCGCATCAGAATGACGTACTGATCCTGCGCGTGCTGGCAGAAAAAAAGTGCCATTTGCTCAAGAACAAAAGTTTGGATGGCTATCCGCAGGTTCCTTTTCGCACGCAGGTGAGTATTGTGAAAACGTAACCCCCACTGTCTCAGTACGACTAATCCATGCCCATAAAAATTGCATAGTAAAATAAAAATGAATAACAATGAAGAATNGCGTTCGCATCAGAATGACGTACTGATCCTGCGCGTGCTGGCAGAAAAAAAGTGCCATTTGCTCAAGAACAAAAGTTTGGATGGCTATCCGCAGGTTCCTTTTCGCACGCAGGTGAGTATTGTGAAAACGTAACCCCCACTGTCTCAGTACGACTAATCCATGCCCATAAAAATTGCATAGTAAAATAAAAATGAATAACAATGAAGAATAAAAATGTCAATGACAACGTGTGTAATAAACGTATGAGATAAACAAAAGAAAAATACAGCAATGGCGAATATCCTTTGTAATCGACGTTTTGTCTGAAATATGTTTTTCGCAATGAAAAGTATGTTTTCCTCAACAAACGGAAAATGGGTAATTGCGACCTAAATGGATATTTGCTGGCAAGTAAAGTTTAGCCGGTAAATGCTTCAAATATATAAAAAACAGCTATCAACAGGTGAAATGTACGTACACCATCATGCGAAGCGAGCTGCAAACATCAATCCTTGGAAAATACGCCCCCTCTCCACCCCCCAAACAGAATTTTACTAAAAACTATTGCGGGCACTTCCAAAAAATCTTCATGTTTCAAGTTTCGTTTTTGTAGCTTACAACAGGAAAGATCCGTAAATTAATGGTCTGGTAAAAATGAAAATATTACGAATTCCAGCGGTCTTTGGTAGCAATTTTCCTTTTTTCGAAGACCTTTCGAACCCCTGGTTTTTTTTCGAATTTTAAAAAAAATTTCGTATCGAGTAGGTTTGATTGAAAATAATACGCTCCAAATTTTAGGGCTGTGTCAGGAAAATTTAAAAAGTGAGAAAATGATGCATAAACTTTACTCTCCATGCTTTTAATTCAAACTGTTTTTCGAATTTACTGTTTGAAAATAATAGGACGAGAACAAGTAGCAAATACGCAATCGACAATCTAAAGAGAGGGAGAAAGAAAGGGAGAAAAGAAACAAAGAAACAAAGGAAAAATGGAAAAAGGACGAGACGAAGTTTAAGCCTGATAAACCAGTTTTTCCGTTATTTCACTCAATCACCTCTACCTGTAGATATAACAAAACGATAAGCTACTTGTAATTCCTGTATCTGCAGTGTGACCTTTTTAAAGTGCTTGTAGCCGTTACCTTCGCTAGTTTTTATTAATAACTTTGAAATATAACGTCTTTCTCTTTTTCATTTCATGATGTTTGGCGGCACGTTTTAAGAGTTCTGGTATTTAATGTGACTCGACCCAGTTATTTTGTGAGGGTTACATCCTACTTTGAAGCTCTCTGGTATCCCCATCTTTACTTTGATCGTAAGTCTAACATATAGCATGGATAACATATAGACCAATCTACAATATAGAGTAAAATTTTTGGCGATCGGAGTAAATGTCACGTGGTTATAGTGCTACACCTCTTTGGGGTCTGAGTCGAAATTCTGCTGTTGCTGGCATTTTTTCGTGAAAATCTCTCAGCTACATATAGTGGGCATTAGTGCCTTGCGTTGAACAAAGTTTTACCAAAATCGCAAAGACCCAATGCGAGAAATTCAGCGGTTTCCAAATTTAGGCCATAATTTATGTGAAAGTGATAAGGAAACTTTACACGATTATATCTAATAAACTATGAGATTTATCCCTTTATTTTTGGGATCTTTATAACAGATGGTCCTTGCAAGTCAGCAAAAAACTTCACGGCCTTGTAAATGCGCGCGATTTCGAGCAATGCAAACATATAGAAATTATAGTTTTAGCTATTTGTTGACGTTTGTCAGCGTTTTAGAGTCCTCCTCACGAAAAAAGCATTTTCTTAAAAATTCGTAGTTTTTTTTTCCTTCAAATTTTTTCAGGGCCACAATTGATTAACTAACTACCCGGATTCTGAATTTCATGGTCATTGAAAAACTGTGACATTATCTTCTATAATCCCAAACTTGAGTAAACATTGAAGATTTTTAGCGTTTTGGCTGAGTTTGTGCTTTGGGAGTTTTCTATTGTTTTGAGTAGTCTCTACAGTACCAATACCAAGGCATCCAGTCCTCGAGAATCCAATCAAGGACAGCCAGGTTGTACTTCCGTCTTTCCTCCTCAGAGAGTCCCCGTCCATCATTCGCTTTGTGCCAGTTCAAAATGATCTCAACAACTCGTGCTTCATTCTTGTGGTTGTTGTTCTGCAAGAACTTAAGGACACCAATGGAGAAAAATTTCTCGCAATCAGGAACAGACTGTTTTCTTTTTCCAGTAAGAGCCTCATAAGTCATGCCACTATTTTCATCATGTAGAGCATCTCTGAAGTACTGCAGACCTATTGATGGGATTGTCCCTGCTCTAGCGCATGATGTTATGCGCTTCAGCACATGATTATGATCTTCACGCTCATGAAATGTCTCACCATTCACTTCATTTAACTCTGGGACATAGAGATGTTCTTTGAAGTTAACACCCAATGCACAGTAGTCATTTACTTTCTTGCGGTACAGGTAGGTGGCCATCAAAGACTTTAAACATTCAGTCTTATTTTCAGGCTTACCTTAAAGACAAGCAAATTAAAATAATACAACTTATTTAACAATTTTTACTAAGAAATTACTTGATACTATTACCTGGAACAAAGAAACAAATAAGTTAATAAATTATCGGCTGTCTATAGTAAATGTGTTGATCAACATACCAGGCTTTCATGGATGTGGATCATAGTTACATGGAAAGTGACTTCATCCCCAGAGCTGAAGGGCAAAGTTATTTCAATGCACACTCAAAAATCTGAGCATTTACTTTGGTGGCTTTGGGAAATAGTGCCAAGCTGGCAACCAACCTTTGCCATTAATAAACTACTGGGGGCTTATTAGTAACTTTATCATAACATACCAGGCTTCCATGGATGTGGATCATAGTTAAATGGAAAGTGACTTCGTCTAAGGAGCCGGAGGGCAGATGTAAAGGAAAGTCCATCGTCCATGAGAGATTTCAGCAGAGCGACATCTTTGATTGGAACAGCTGGATGTGGCACTTGAGGTTCCACTGCCCCATCTTTGAGAGAAAGCAAGAATGTAAAGTTACATTCAAACTCTTTACCATTTAATTTGGTAGCTCCAAAAATATTTTTAAAAAACAGCATCTTGCTGGCCAGGATACTTTGCAATAAAATTCATTCTATGGGTTCTCTGTTGCTCAAAAGTGACATGGTGCAGAAGCAAGGTGTGAACATTGAAGAAAATAGGGCTTAAAAGCATGGAAATCGATAATTTGTTTTCCTTAAATAATTTATAGCCATGTCTGTGATGTTTGAGAATATTCAGCCAAAATAATTATTGTTCTTTTACCATGACACTGTTGACTTGCAAACAGCCCATCAGAGAGCATAAAGTGTACAGAAACCATTAATTCTACCTTTATTCTTGGGTGTAAGATATCTTGCTATTCGACTAGCCGGAATGGATTTGGCCTTAGACTTTGCATCTGCCATCAGCTGAATTACTGAGACTGGTCTCTGGGAGCCCTTGGTCCTTAATGAGTTAAACTCTCCGTCAGTTACAAAACCTGATACATAAAATATATATAATCAGCATGCAAAGAAAGTCATGTCCGATAGCCCCGGGCTAGTGGATATTGCTATCAGGATAGTGATGTTTGTTTTTTAACTTGCCAGAGGGACAAGTGCTGTTTTCTGGGAAAATTCAAATTACAGAAGGATTGTAATCAATCCTGCCAATCAAAAAGGGTTTTGGGGCTAATTGAGATGATTTGTGGGAAGATAATGCTAGCTGTAGCTTATAATGGAATTAAAAAATATATGTAAATGTATATATATATATATATATATATATATATATATATATATATATATATATATATATATATATATATATATATATATTTTATATTAAAAAAAACAAACACACACAAACCTCCCCCACTTTTTCTTTTTCTATCTTCTTATCGTGCCGCGTTTTCCTATTTTTTGCATATGTTTTGTTCTTCTTGCGGTGATCTCTCACAACAAGGATATTGTGCTTTGTGTAAAAAAAAAAAAAAATATATATATATATATATATATATATATATATATATATATATATATATATATATATATATATATATATATATATATATATATATATAATGTGGCAAAGAAAACAAACCCACAACTACCATCCCCAAGTTTTCCATTTCCAACTTAAGGTCGTCACGAAGTTGCCTAACTTTTGCATCTGTTATGCTCTTGAATGGCAGGGCTCTCACTGGAATGGCATAGGGCTTCATGTCCCTGCGTTCATCAGCCACCACGAAGATCATCAGATGCGTGGCCGCTTCCCTTTTTTTAGAGAACACATCTTTGGTGTACTGTGACAGACCTTTCCTTAATTGTGCTAAAGTTTGGGGAAGATTTCCTCTCTGATTAGCAGGCCCTAAACACTTGGAAATTATGCTGCTGCATCTGTTTTGCAAATCATGGTTCAACGATTTCAGGGTTTCATAAGCATTGACATCCCAAGCTAGAGCAAACAGGCTGCTCTCTGGGGTATTGCTTTGCTTCCTTTTTTTTTCATAAATTTCCTTCGATTTCCTGAGACCTGATTGCAAAAACTCAGAATCATTTGTTAGTGTTTTCAACTCTTCCCTCAAGTCCTGGATAACAACTTGCAAGGGCTTTCGTTTTTCTAAACCAATCCCTTTAATAAAACTTATCAACTGCATGTATGTTTGGTGCAGTTGCTCCAGTTGCCCGTCTCCCAAGTCTACATCCCCAGACCACTCACGGAGCAAGGATTCCATAATACCGGACCTTATATCACAGGCATCGGCTTTAATCCACCAACGCCCATTAGGATTCCTCTGTTTTGCAGTCTTCAGTGCCTCTATCTACAGTTAATTACAGATGACAACAAATCATTCCAAGTAAAGAAATGTAACGTCTCTATTTGAAACTAAATATGTATACACATCATTAAGTGTAGGAAGAATTATGATGAAATGTACCCTGAGGTCTAGATGACATCCAGGTCCAAAGTCATGACAACATGGTATACAATACACTGTCAGACGTACTGACTGATTAATAACAATTATGGTCAATAATTAGACCTGTGCATAACATTACAGTTCTTCCTAAAACACACTGTCATGTTAATGTATCATATGTAGCTCTTAACATCTGTATATATTGCTTTAAAGTCTGCAACATTGCCAAAAATGGCAACTTTGATAAAGTGCAATGTCATTAATACAAAACTGAGCTTACCTGGATGCTTGTGTCCCTGGTGAAGCCTTTTTGTTGGATTCTCCTCTGAAGCTGTCTTGATGAGAGACCAACAACATTAACCTTGGCCTGCAAACAAAGTGGGCATGTTAAGGGGGCAATTATATCATTTTGTACTTATGGAAGAAGATTTCTCACATACCATGCATAATACTTTCTATAACACCTTTTACATATATGCTTTAAATAATAACAATAAGGCAGAAATAAAATAAAATACAACCAACAGCCCTTGACATTGATCATAATCAGCCCACATAACCATATGATATCACCTTCAGTGGATCACGCTTTGCATGCTTGTGCTTCCTGGTTCTTGAAGGTCTAGCATTGTGGAGTTGCTCTATCTGGAGTGGTGAGTCAGAAGCTTGTTCAAGCTCTGCCATGTCACTAACACTCAACCCACTCCAAAGAGTAGATATTTCTGAGGATGGTTCTATGTCTTGAGTGCCAGTATTACACATTAGTTCTTCCAGACCTTCAGTTTCCCGGACTGCCTGGGACAATAAATCACCCATCTCGTCAAATGGTCTGTTGAAACTGGTTGATGTAGGCTCTTCTGATTCCTGGGTGATAACATTATGTAAACTTTGAGAAATCTGCGGCTCAAGGAAAGGTGGGACGTCTCCTTCCTCATCTGAGGAATCTCCATTATAACTCCACATTGGCCCTTGGTAGAGTTTGTCCCATTTGTGACCAAAGTGAGCAAACATTGTCGTCAACCATTCAGCATAGTGCTCACATGGGTGGAGGTTTGAAACATTATCTTTGGCAAAGAATTGGAGGTTGTGGTGGATGAGACCAAAAGGCATACGGTCAAGTGACATCCTTGGCCCACTTCCACCAGGTCTTGATTCACCAACACTCCTTGCAAGAAAGTAGAGAGTATTTTCCTTTCCAGCGACTTGTAGGTTTTTAAAGGAGCTTCCAGCCAATTGCAGAAAGTTTGCAGGTACATAACCATCATTGATGCCAACATCATGGGAAAGATGAATGCAAAAAAGGTAGGAGAGGAATTGTTCCCTCTGCAATCTGGTCATTTTTAGAAAACCATTCATCATAAGTTTAATCAAATCACCAGTAGAAAACTCTGGGGTAACATTCTTGAGAGGACACTGGTGAAATATGGGTGATAGATTTCCTGACAGATTGCGCAGAGGGGATTTAATGGGTGTAGAAGTTGCTTTTCCAGCTGCTGCACTACTCTCTTCCTGTTGCCCTTCAAAGTAATCTATCTTGTAGAAGTCCTCTGCTTCCTCCAGTGTCCTAAACTGGTTCACAAGATGTCGCTGCACTTTGCGGTGACAAGCCATGCCTAAAAATACAACAAAAAATATCCATTATTGCAAATGGTAAAATGAAATATCAAAACTATATCCACACTTGGCTAGGGTAGAGTAAATAGAATATACTCCGTATTAAAGAATCTAAACAAACATCCAGAGGAAATATTGTGAGATTCTTAAAAAGTGAAAAAAAAACTCACTAGTTCTCGTGGGTAAACCAGAGTATTGTGCAACTGCAGCACTACAGCTGTCCCAAAAATCCCAATTCTTGTGGGTGAGCCGAACAGATGCTCCATCAGGGTCATGATACAAAGCAATATATTGAATCAGCCCAGCTAATTCTTTGTCATCCCAAGGAATGGATGCTGAAACTGAGGTGTCCTGCAATGAATATTCAATTAAATTTAGGGAAAGTTCATTTAATATGACAAGGGGGGGGGGGGGGGGGGGTGAAGATATTAAAACTCAAAGGTTGAATTTTTAGCCCCCCCCCTCACACGGGGATCTATTTTTTAGGACTCCCCTCCTTGGCAAGCAAAAAATATTAAGCCCCCCCCCCCCCCCCCCCTCTTTACCCCTCCTCCCCAGCATACAACCGCCACACCCCCACTAAAACAACTCTCACCTACCTCTTCATCTGAT